TGAGGTGTTCCAGTCAAAATGGAAGCATAGGTAAACATGGCCTACCTCCACACACAACCATAGCAAAAATTACAACTAAACTATAAAAACAAGGATCACCCATAATCACCAGAAAATTGAGTTATATGGAACTCCAACCACCAAGGAATTAAAGAAGTCACATTCATCCAAATGAGTAAGAGGGATGGAGACATCAAGACACACAAAGACATATGGAGATGCGGAGATGCAGAATGGCAACCTCCCACCTGTGTGTGGTGGATAAAAATTGGGATCAGAAGGGATACCTCAGGAACAAGGGATTCTCACCCCATACCAGACCACTCAGTCAAGTACTCCAGTACCAGGGAAATAAGTTGTGGCTGTAAAAACCAATGGGAATTGGGGTGGCTGAAGAAACTGTGGTTCTCAGAAGTCTCCTCTTAAAGTACCTGCAACAGATTTAGAACTTATTCAGAATCATTTCCTCTGGGCTCCAGTATCAGGGCAGCAGCTGGAAGGACACCAGTGGTATATGGGGAGAAACTGAAGTGTCTGGCATCAGGGTGAGTGCCAGGGAACAGCTTCCTCACTGACAAAACTCCAGAGACCAGGCAGCAGTATTGTCCTCTTTCTGAGCTCTCCCTCACAGAGAGCCACAGAGCCACAGAATAGCTACCCCATATCTGAGACTCCATCAACCTGGTTCACATGGATTGCCCCACCCTTGTGACTACCTAAGGCTCAGCCCCATCCAATTTACTGGTGTGCTTTTCTACAATAGGCCACACTTTTAAGATAGGGAGTCAAAGCAGCTTTACATGGTACATAGAAACAAACACAGGGAGGCTGCCAAAATGAGGAGACAAAGAAATATGGCCCAAATGAAAGAACAGAACAAAACTCCAGCAAAAGAAATAAACAAAATGGAGGTAAGCAGTCTATCAGATGCAGAGTTCAAAACACTGGTTATTAAGATGCTCAAGGAACCCACTGGGTACTTCAACAGCATAAAAAAGACCCAGGCAGAAATAAAGGTTACACTAAGTGAAATAAAGAAAAAATTTACAAGGAACCAACAGTGCAGGGGATGAAGCTGAGAATCAAATCAATGATTTGAAACACAAGGAAGAAAATAACATTCAATCAGAACAGCAAGAAGAAAAAAGAATCCAAAAAAACAGAGGCTAAGGAGCCTCTGCGATAACTTCAAATGTACCAACATTCGAATCATGGGAGTGTCAGAAGGAGAAGAGGAAGAGCAAGAAATTGAAAACTTCTTTTAAAAAATAATGAAAAAAATTTCCTAATTTGATGAAGTAAATAGACATACAAGTCCAGGAAGCACAGAGAGTCTCAAACAAGATGGACACAAAGAGGACCACACCAAGACACATCATAATTAAAATACCAAAGGTTAAAGATAAAGAGAGAATCTTAAAAGCAGCAAAGGAGTTCCCATAAGACTGGCAGCTGGTTTCTCAAAAGAAACTTTGCAGGCTAGAAGGGACTGGCAGAAGTATTCAAAGTGATGAATAACAAGGACCCACAACCAAGATTACTCTATCCAGCAAGCTCTCATTTAGAGTTGAAGGGCACATAAAGTGCCTCCTAGACAAGGTAAAGCTAAATGAGTTCATCATCACCAAACCATTATTATATGAATAGTTAAAGGGACTTATTTAAGAAAAAGAATATCAAAACTATGAACATTAAAGTGGTAATAAATTCATAACTGTCATCAACTGAATCTAAAAAACAAACTAAGCAAACAAGCAGAACAGAAACAAAATCATACATATCAAGACCATTTGGAGGGATATCAGTTGGGAGGGTGAAGGAGTGGAATGGGGGAAAAGTGCGGGGATTAAGAAGTACAAATTGGTAGGTACAGAATAGGCAGGGGATGTTAAGAACAGTATAGGAAACGGAATAGCCAAAGAACTTATATGCATGACCCACATACACAAACTAAGGAAGGTGATTGCCAGAAGTAATGGGGTGCACTGGGTAGAAGGGGACAAAGGAGTAAACTTAGGAAAACTATAATAGCATGATCAATAAAATATGTTTTAGAAAAGAATGTGATCTTATTTGAAATAGGATTATTGCAGATGTAATTAGTTAAGATGAGGACATACTGGAGGAAGATGGGGCTCTAATACAACGTGGCTGGTGTCCTTATGTATAGAGAAATTTGGAGACACATATGCAGACTGGGGTACCTCATGTGAAGATGAAGGCAGAGAACTGGGTGACACATCTACAAGCCAAAGTCAAAGACTGCCAGCAAACCACCAAAAAGTAGGGGCTATGCATGGAAGAGATTCTTTCTCACAGAGCTCAGAGGGAACCAGTCTTACCAACGACTTGATCTCAAGATTTTTGGCCCCCAGAACTATGAACTATAAACTTCTGTTGTATATACACCCAGTTTGTGGTACCATATTATGGCAGCCTTAGCAAACTATTACAGTATCCAAACTGATATTGACTAAAATATACAGGCTTTAGTTTAAAAATTGCATGGTATTTATATTAAAAATGTAAAATAATAATTTTGAAATATTTCCAAAACCAATTTTTTATTCATTGACTCACCTGGTTTCAAGCAGTTTTTGTGATCTATGCTAAAGATCTTTATGACTACAGGGCTTTCCTTGCTGTTTGTTTAATGGGAATATTGGGTCCAATCCCACTAGACTAATTAATATTAAATAGATTACCAACTGTGTGACCTTGTCTAATCCCTTACTTGCCCTGAATCTTTTTCCTCTTTAGAAAAGAGTGTGAGGCTAGATTCTTTCTAATTTCTAGCTGAGACATTCTGTGACCTATAGGAACCCTTGCCAATCTAGGCAGACTTAATGTCCTGCAGTCCAAGTAAGCTCAAACCAGAACAACTTTATAGAAACCAGCTCTGCTAATATACTGGCATTTAAGAATAATATTTAAAAAGAGTGCCCCAACAGATTAAAGATTCCAAGTAAAGAACTCTAAAGTTTTGAAAGCCTGTTACTATTTAGAATGCATAATTTTAACATAAATATTTTAGAAACATTTGTTTAGTTTGCTATGTGTTATTGTTAATACAGGGGGTCCTGCATCTAGATTTGTTATATGCCATTAATGAATCAACCATTCAATTCCATAGAATTGAAATTATAATTATTTTGAGTGATGTATTTACTATTTAATTGTATTTAATTTTAGATGCTCCTAAAATGCCTAATAAAATGTTGGGATGCTAAATGATTGCCTCATCTACATTGTGCATTTTCTGAAAATAATTAGTTATGTTAATTGCTTGGAAACTGAGGTGGGAATGAAGACACAACTGGGACTTGTGGACTGGGTTGGAGTTGAGGGATGGGGTGAGTGGAGAGACATACACTTCTCTGCCTGTGTTTGAAACTCCTAACCGTGCAGGACTGAGCCTGGACTGGGAAATAAGGGGATGGGCTAAAGAAGGAGTTAGAAAACTAAATCCCTCTGCCACTTTCCAGGTTTTTACGAAGGTACATTGGTCAAGGTAGGAGAGACATTTTACTTAAAACTTATCATCTTGATTTATAATTTTTAAATATTTTGACAGATGTTATGAGGACCATTCATACTCTTGCCCTGAACCTGGCAAATGTGAAGGAAAGACTGAGTAACATCATAATTTTGTGTTGTCAACCTATGAGTGGTCCATCTGGCTTGCTAATGATTGATTTACTAGTTTAAGTCATACCTTATATATAAGTAAGTGAAATTAATGACTGAGAAAAGAAACGTAAAGAAATGAAGAATAACAGACTAAGGAAACTATAGTTTCTTTTTTCTGCCCTGTGGATTTTCAAGTATGGTTGTCTTTCTTTGGGAAGCTTTTCTGGCAAGTTGATGATGATGATGATAAAAACTGATGCTTCGTTATGTGTTGGGAGCCTCTTCTAAAAGTACACATTAACAAATCTGATCATTTTCACAGCGTCATAGGTGGATCCTGCAGTAATATCTTCATCGTTTTACATATGAGGAACCATAGGTTTCAAAAGGGTGACTTGCACGTGGATAGTCACACAACCAGCTGAGCAGTGGAAGAGGAGATTTGAGTCCAGGCAGCCTAGATCCAGAATCCCCGATCAAGGAATCTATGGGGCTTTTGTCTACCAAGAATGTCTGCACAAACAAAATGTGTGGTTTGCATGCAACTTAGCAACTTTTCCCTCTTTACCAGCCAGTAATATGATCTACAGAATCAAATATATCCTTAGGGTCAGCATGATTTTCAGATAATGGGTTGTTCTACTGTCAGGGCTGAGCACAAACAAGTGCTTAGTATTTGTTTTGTCTTTTTTGTGGTGTTTTGTTTTGCTTTTAAATGTAAGCTTGGCACAGAACCTGGTACTCCACAAATCCTGGGTAGAAGGGAGAGAGAGGTGACAAGAGGGAAGGAGAGAATTCATCTTGTTAGATTGATGCAATTTGATGCCAAAGACAAAAATAATCACTTGAATTACTCCAGCTCAGCCCCCGTTCTCTGGAGTGGGGACTTCTGACTTAGCCCTCAGAGAAAGGTTCCTAATGGAGGAGGTCTAGAGCAGGGGTGTCCAACCTGCAGCCTAGGATGGCTGAGAATGCAGCCCAACACAAAACCATAAATTTACTTGAAACATTATGAGATTGTTTTGTGATTATATGTCACAATGTATTTCATATGTGGCCCAAAACAACTCTTTTTCCGGTGTGGTACAAAGATGCCAAAAGGTTGGATACCCCTGGTAGAGCCTCTCTCATGAATAATGTGAACATTTAAGGGAAAGGCAGTTGCCTATGTCTGGCGAGAGAAACCTGGGCAACCGACCTACACAGACACCGCCTCGCCACTAGCAAGCTACCTCAGCCCGCCCCTTCTGAGACGGTTGCCACTCACTCCCACCACGCCCGCGCCGTTGCCGGCCCGCTCGGCGCCCCCACTGCGCCCCGCCTCTCCTAGTCCCTCCCCCGAGCTCGGCTTTGGGGCGCGGCTTACCCGCGGTGCATGGTGGGGCCTTCGCCTCCGTCAAGCCAGTTCCACCGTCCCCCGCCCCCTCGCCCAGCCCCGCAGCGCCCCAAAGGCGGTGGGAAGTGAAAACGGTTACGGCATGCGCCCGGCCTCGGCACTGTCTTCGCCCGTGGCGAGCCCCGACTACTACGAGAGGCTGGGCAGCCTCCAACAGGGGCTGCGGGACAGGTAGGGCCTATCGGGGCGGGGGCGGGGACTGGGCGTGCTCCGAGGGTCAGCTGGTATCCTACCCCTTTTTCCTTTGCCGTCTCCAGCCCTTGGTTCCCCTGGGCCCAGGGCTGCCCGTGGCGCCCCCAGGCTCCGGTTGGGGCCTGGAGGAAAAAGTTTACCGGAGATAACCTCATTTGTTGCGTCTCCCGCTGGGGGATTTGGCTGCGCCACCGAATTTTCCCAGAAGTGGGAGTGGGAGTTCTCCTGCCAGTCATTCTCAATCAAACCTTGTGGGTTTCTCTAATACCCATTTCCACGTCTTCTCCCCGTCTCTCTTAAAATTGTCATCCCACCCTGACAACTGCACTGCATCAATGAGGACAGGTCCAGGAACTTGCGCGCACGCTCGTGTGTGTGTGTGTGTGTGTGTGTGTGTGTGTGTGTGTGTGTGTGTGAGGGAGGGGGGGTGGAGAAGTGTATGTCCTGTTTAAATACAGAAGACTCTGGGAGCCAGATTTCCAGCGCAAGGATGAAATTTCCAGCAAGAAAAGTTCCTGAGGGTTCGTTATATCTTGATTAATAACTTGATTAAGACATGAAAGATGAGAACTACTGAAAAGATCTAAGAGCATATAAAGGGAGAAAATTATAAAGTAATTTACTATACATAACCACATAAAAGATACGTTGTTGGAACTATTTATTCAGCTGCTAAATTAATTGAAATTAGAAATCTCATTAGTTGACAAAAAAGGAAATAGATTTTTTGATCTATTGATAAAATGTTAAATGAGTGTTAAAAATTACAAAATCATTTTAGTGAAGAGATCAGCTGTGTGTGTGTGACAATTCTAAAATGACAACAATTACATGTATAGTAAAGGCGGAAGCAAGTGCTTTTTTCAAAGGAATTATATTCATCTTATGCTAGCTTTAGTTTTTGTCAAATATTTATAGAACATCTACATAGGCTGTCTTAATTGTCTTAATCATATTTTACTTCTAAATCTTTTTCTACATCCTATTTTCTTTCTGACATGCCATTACTCACCCACGCCAGTGACTCCTCACCTCCAACTTCTAAAAAATCCATTTCTGAAGCTCCTGCCCTGTGGACAACCCACTGACAAACCATTTCCTAACTTATGTGACCTTGGATTTCTTATAGCACTCTATCAGGGGTGTCAAACTCATTTTCATTGGGGGCCACATCAGCCTGGTGGCTGCCTTCAAGGGGCTGAAATAATTTTAGGACTGTATAAATGTAGCCTACTTGTTAACTGTTAAGGAGTTGAAATTACATTCAGCCCTTTGAAGGCAACCATGAGCTGATGTGGGCCCCCGGTGAAAATGAGTTCGACACCACTGCTCTAGATAATGCCTTAAGTGACTTGCTCCCTCCCTAGACTGAGAATTCCAGGAGAACAGGAACCATATCTAGCTGGATCTTTTAACTACTAATAGAGTACCTGAAATGAGGAGGGGCTTGAAAAATGTTGAAAGAATGGAAGGAATCCCAAAGTCAACCAGCTGGTGTCCAGGAGTTATGGATGTCTTATATGGAAGCCAGTAGCCACACATTGCCCCTATATAATGACTCTTTTCCAGTCAGCCAGGAAAAGTGGACAGCGTGATATTTCAAAGATGGTATTAAGTATCTGCACATATCTGATAATTTAGATAAGTGTGTACATTAGTATACTTAGTTTTTTACTGTGTTCTGGTAAAAGAATAGCTAAGTTACCCTAGGCTTTTAGTTACTTGTTTCTCGTAGCCAAAGTTCTAATTTCAAACTGTTGCCAGTTCACATTGCATTATTTTTCAACTCAGTTAATTGTGAGTTATCATTTTTGCACTCTGACCTAGAACACCTGGCTGTTTACAGTCTTTATAGTATAACTGTGTAATTATTATTACTTACTTTATGTTTAACACCTAATATTTTAACTATTAAGCAAGGTGAGGCTGTTAAAATTATATTGAGAATTTGAGTCAAATTGTATAACCTATTCATGGTTCTGAATTTAGAGGTTTGCTCTGTTTTTAAGTCAGTATAAATCTGTTGCTGTGTGTATTCATTTTTTCATATTAAAAGTCTCTCACTAACTCTAACACATAATAAATACAGAGGCAAGTAACTTTGGATTCAGAGAAAACTGCAGTGGAAGATGGAAACATGGGTTCTAGTCAACAAACACTTGTGTGACCTTGAGTAGGTCTTTCAGCTTCTTTGAAACTTAGTTCTTCACCAGATATGAGGGGCCTTAACTAGTATGTAAAGTAAGGCCACAGATTTTTTTTGTCTACTACAGTAATGAGTCTTGGAGTAAAAAAGTTGAAAAGTGTACTTTTGAAGAGCAAACTGAATATCATTGCTTTATATTTGAGTGTTTGGATGTAACCCCTTCTTTTTTGTTTTATTAATCCCAGTGACCAATAGGACCACTATTTCTTAAAAATCAAGAGTAATTTTAAAGCCTACCACCCTGAACAGTCACAGCTATTTTATCAGTAATTTCCTAGGGTGGTAGATAAAAAAAGAAGAAGAAAACTTGCTTTTTCTTGACCTTTTTTGAGGTGGGTCATTACAAAATTAGCTAGTCTAATAACTGAGCTTTTCTCTTGTAACTGGTGTGTTTGTAGCTTAAATTGTCTTGGCTGTAGTCACACACAGGTGTAATTCTATATTCTGAAATTTCTCCTTTTTGTATACAGTATTTTCTCTACATTGTGGTAAAAGTCCATCATGAATCTGAAATAGTCTAGTGAAGTGACTTGTTACAGTGTGCATAGTGCTGTAAGCATGGTGGAAACATATAAGTGGAGTTGACTCTTACAATTATATAAAAACTTTTTTTTTGAGAGGAATAGGTTTATTTTAAGAAATTGGCTCTTGCAATTGTGGAGGCTTATCAGGTCCAAATTCTTTAAGGTGAGGCTCTCAGGCTGGGGACCCAGGGAAGAGTTGCATTCAAATCCAAAGGTGGTTTTCTGGGAGAATTCGCTCTTCTCCAAAGGATGTCAATTTTTTCTTTCTTTCTTCTTTTTCTTCTTTTTTTTTCAGTTTTTATTTTTATTTTTTTTAATTTCTTTTTTTATTGATTATGCCATTACAGTTGTTCTATTCCCCCCTCATTCCCCTCCACCCTACCCCCCCGTCCCCACCATTACCCCCCCCTTTAGTTTATGACCATATGTCTCAAGTTCTTTAGATTCTATATGTCCCATACTATTCTTGCCCCCCCATCTATTTTCTATCTACTGTCTATGCTACTTATTTTCTGTACCTTCTCCCCCCTTCCCTTGCTCCCACTCCCCTATTGCTAACCCTCCTTGAGATCTTCATTTCTATGTTTCCGCTCCTGATCTAGCTGTCCTTTTAGTTTGCTTTTGTTTTCGGTGTGGTTGTTAATAACTGTGAGTTTGCTGTCCTTTCACTGTTCATGTTTTTTTAACTTCTTTTTCTTAGATAAGTCCCTTTAACATTTCATATAATAAGGGCTTGGTGATGATGAACTCCTTGAATTTGATCTTATCTGAGAAGCACCTTTATGTGTCCTTCCATTCTAAATGAAAGTTTTTCTGGATAGAGCAATCTTGGTTGTAGGTCTTTGGATGTCATGACTTGGAATACCTCTTTCCAGCCCCTTCTTGCCTGTAAGGTCTCTTTTGAAAAATCTGCTGACAGTCTGATGGGAACTCCTTTGTAGGTGACTGTCCCCTTAGCTCTTGCTGCTTCTAGGATTCTCTCCTTCATTTTAATCTTGGCTAATGTAATGATGATGTGCCTTGGTGTGTTCCTTCTTGGGTCCAACTTCTTTGGGACTCTCTGAGCTTCCTGGATTTCCTGGAAGTCTATTTCCTTTGCCAGATTGGGGAAATTCTCCTTTATTATTTGTTCAAATAAGTTTTCCACTGGTGGCTGTGCCTTTCCCCCTTCTGGTACCCCTATAATTCGGTGTGGCAACCCCTAATACCTGTCTTTTTTTCTTTTCTGGTATAGGATCCCATCTGTGAACCCATATTCAATGTGGTTGCCATGCCTGTGCAATCGTTCCTAGTCTCTCTCAGAGAGAGACTATCTTTCATGTTCCTGACCGTTTCATAGAGTACAACTTTCATTCCAGAGGGTGCTGCTCAAACTGGGTCCACCTGATGTTTCCTCATGACCGGACTCTGGCCATACTTTTTTGGCAGGAATACACAGAAGTGAAGTGTGACACCAGGGCACAAGGACATAGATGCATTTAAGGGTCCTTTTGTCCTCAAAACTTAATGACAAATTGCTTACACTGTCCAGTCATTCATTCTTCATGAATTAAGTATCCTTTTGATCCTTGGAACCTTAGAAGGGGGAAAAGTGACTAATAAAATTTCCTAACATGGAAATAAACATACCATATTTTATTCATATCTCTTCTAAGTTCATTCTTATTAATGAGAAAGATCTGTGGAAAGCTATTAATTTTAAAAGTTGTGTTTCTATAATTTTTTCCTTTTAATCTTTTACCCTTTTTTAACCTAGACATACCCCAACTGGGGAATAGATTGTTTTACCCAAGCAAAGATTTGGTGTTTGACTTTTGTACTCCATTTTCCCATTAAAAGAATTTTGATTAATTTGTGCTAAACAAAGAAATTTATCCTACAATGTAGTTAACAGTACATTTGGGGCTTTTTTGTAAAGGAAAAAATATTTGAAGGAAAACAAACTAATGAAGAGCTCACAAATGGAAGGTGGTCTCAGGTCCATTCCCTCAGGAGACCAGCCGGAGCTTATCTTCTGTTGGACTCCTTGTCTTTGATTCATAGTATTTTTCTCTCAGACATTTTGTGATTTCTCTTTCAGCCTTTAGTCCAAGGTGGATTTTGTGGAAGCATCATGTCCAGTCCTGATGGAACCTCCATTGCTTAAGTGCCACCGCCTCAAGAGAGGTCTGGCCATATTGTATTTTACATATTTTTTGTCTGTCCTCCCCACTAGAAGGTCAGCTGCCTGATGACAGGGTTCTTGGTTGTCTTGTTCACCATATTAGTCTCTAGGCCTAGAACTCTGCTTAGCTCATCATAGCATGCAAGAAATACTTGCTGAATGAATGAACCTGGTTCCCAACTTTTTGTTAAGATATTTTCCCACTTACTTTGAGAATCTTGTTCATTTTGCTTTGTATTGGTGTCCTCTTTGCAAAAGATATCCCTGGTGACTGCTAAGTATTTTTGTGTCTTGCGGTTCAAACACAGCTGGCATTTTCTGCTTCTTAGGCTAGAGAAGCATTCTTACAAAAGTGTGATTTTAAAAGAGATCATATTTTAAATTTGACAGCCTATTACTTATCAGTGTAGTTATTGATAAAATATTTTCTTTCTGTTCTATAGTGAAAAGAAGAGATTGGACCTGGAAAAGAAACTTTATGAATATAGTCAGTCTGATATATGCAGGTAAGATATGCCAGTAGTAATAGTTTTTAGACCACTTTGCATATGTTAATAAAAATTTAACCCTAATGTTGTAAATACCATAGTTGTAGTACTTTTAGCATTCTTTTACTCTTGATGTGTAATAGTTCAAGTAAACACTGCAATTTAATGACTATCATGTGTAAGAATAAATTTGATTAAACTTAGTACAAGGAAAAAAATTTTTTTGTTATTTGGTATTTGTATTATTTCAGGAATCTTTTGCTTAAATTGCTTAAGAATAAGACCTGTTATAGTCTGTTATCTTTTTGGTCACAAGTTAAATCCATTAAGTCTGTATAGTGATTAAGGCATAATTATACTGTAGCTGACTTTTCAACAAACTATTGTAGGTAGGATTACATAGTGTTTCATTTGTTCATAGGTATATGACAATGAATGTTAAAATTATCATGGACAGTAGATAATATACATGTTATTCCACTTTGGTTACTTTAATATGAAGAGCAAACTTTCAATATTTTTAAGTTTATTTTATGGAAACTGAACTTCATCCTTAAGCTAAATGTATGGTGTTATCTCCAGTGTTATTTATATAAATAATTTCTGGCTATGACTGTACTAAAGTTGTGATTTATCCATACTATAATGTGAGTGAAAAATGAAAATTTCTTACCCAGAAGGGAGAGAAGCAAAAAATACTTAAAATCTGATCATCCATTAGGTCCATTTATTTCCTGATCTTCAAAATTATTCTTTGGTCTTAAAATTTAGTATACTTCCAAAGGTACCAGTCAGGGAGGATAGCCGTAAGTCTCTGGGCTCTAGAGGAGACAAGAGTCAATAGGATGATGGAAATGTTGTGGATACTATGGCCTCGGAAGTGGGCCCAACTCTTAGAGGATCCATAGCAGTTGCTATTTTTCTAACCCACAGCTCAAGGGGCAGAAGACAGTATGGAATTTTTCTGTGGCCTTGTCTTGGATGACTTCCTGACATAATGATGGTGAGAGCAGAATGGGAACCTTTACCAAGCTCTCAGTTTTCTGAGTTTGTTCTACTATCAACCTCTTTTTTTCCTGTTAGAGAGTATGATTTGCTTAAAATATGCTTTCTTTGACTTCCTGTAGGATAAAATCCAAACTTTCTAACATGGCTGTCTTCAACCTGGTTATCTCAGAAGGCAGAGTCTGAGACAAGGGTTTGTTTGTAGGTGGTAGGGTTTCTTTTTTTTCTGTAGGTATAGTAGTAGGTTATTTTAGGTAGTGGTCACATAAAATTAGAAAGCAGAGCTGGGAAGAATGAAGTAGGAGCTGGTTACTGCTGTGGGCACCTGGAACTTGATGCCTCTGGACCTTCAGAGGAGCAGTGTAGACTGCTTCTCTGCTCCTTACAAGTGTCCACTTAAGGAAAGGAAGAGGTGGCTATTTACCTCTAGGTTTCTGACTCCATTGATCAGGGCTGTTGCAGGAGGTGTTTACTCCTTCTCATATCCAGGTTTTCTATGTTGCAAATTCAGAAAAGCAGCCCTGGGAAAGCAAGATACCAGGTGCGGCTGAGGCAGGTGTTACTGGGTTGCTGCAGCGGTGACTGGTAGAAGAAAAGGTGGGTCAGGAGGATATGAGGAGGGCATGAGAAGTATCTGGTACAAGGGCATACCAGACGTGCCATTATCTGTCCCTGTTTAATTTTCATCATTACCATCTTTTGCCAACCTCCCCCTAAAATTTTACATGGACTAATACTTCAGTTTCTGAAGCATGGTAGGATCTTTTGTAATATAGTGTAAGCAGATAGGTTTTGTTGTCAAGTTCCTTGATTTAGTCCCACCATCTTATAGCCATATGACCTTGGGACTATCAGGTCAACATTCTGTCTCCATTTTTTTCATCTGTCAAATGGGGTTAATGATAGTTATGAGAAGTTAATAGAGTCTTAAAACAAAGTAAGAGTTGATAATTTATTATTATTATTTTTGTCAATATCACTGTTATTCTTACTTACTGCCTTTGAGCTTTCCATCATGTTACTTTCCTTGCCTGAATGTTTTCCCCTCAACTTTTTACTCTTGCTTTCCCAAATTTTGGGTTAATTCATACCCAGCCCTCATATCTCAGCTGAAAAATAATTTCTACTGGAAAGGCGTCCATGACCCCTTTAACTAGGTCAGGTTGCCTAGTTTTGTCAGAGTCCCTTGCAGTTTCCCACAAGGGACTGTGTTTTACTTATCTCCTTTTTTTGTTTGTTTTCCCTGTTGACCCAGCTGAGTGGCTTTCATGTTCAGAGCACTTAATATATGAATGATTGCATGGATGGATGACTTACTTATGTGGTCAGCTTTGCAGGCTAATGTAAGGAGGGGCAGGAATGAAACTAGACTTTGGATGGAGAAGGCATTGTTTACTATTATACCTACTTCAGGTAGAGACTGGCCACCACCACTAGCTTTACCGAGTACCTGTGTGTGAAAGATGGTATGTTAGGTTCTATCCCATTCCTGTTGTTTATGTTGAAAATAGCAGACATGGGTAGCAGTAAAACCTATCTTAAGTTTTTTGTGCATAGAAAAATGGAGGTAGCCAACTCAGATCAAAACTTTGGAAATATGTTTTCAAGGGTGAACATTTTTGTGATTTTCAACTTATTTTTGATTGATAAAAGAATACTGAATAATTTATTGAACCAACAATAGAAATCCTATAGGTATTCTTATAACTTAGGTGCTTGTGAAAAACAGCGACCTAGAATTAGCAGTGTTGGTTCTATGAAAAGAGTGGGCTGCACATCTTGAGTCTTTTGATACTATTTTGGTCTGGAATTCCTAAAGGTTTTTTTATTGTTGTTGGTTTTTTTTTTACAATTTGAGTAGTTACAGTCTATATGTTGTTTTTAAAACATTTTAATAATATAGTATGCTGTTGCAATTTCTAACAGAATTTTAAAATTATATCTAAAATAAGAGTTTTTCATTTTAAATTTCAAATTTTCTTCATGTTTATGGATTGTGGTTTTTAGTTTGATTTCCTTTATAAGAGCAGGTAGTTTTGTGATTGTCATTTAAAAAGAATGCTAATGGGCTTTTCTTCTGAGCATGGCCACATAGACACTACTCTTAGAATCACATTTAATTTTGAGAAAGAAAACCCTTTAAGTCTTTACTGTTTGAATGTTATAGTGTGGTCTTATGTATATTTCTCAGGAGAGTTATGCCTAGATGTGATACCTCAGTGATGTTGCATTAACTTCTTCTCTCTAAAAATGCATATACATTCTGTCCTTTAGGTTTTAGTGTTTGGGTAAATATATATTAGAATACATTGTCTCACTAACAATTTTGTTAAAGAAAATTCTTCTTAATTACTAAATGTTAAGCTTAGTGCTCAACTATTGCAAGAAATATTTCATTACAGTGGAGCAGTTCATGAATTAGTCCTCAGAAATGGACTAGAAGAAAAATATTTCTTTCCTAGTTTCACTTTGTGTATTTCACAAGGTTGTGCTAAATAAATGTGTGTTATATTTTTTCCACCAAAAATAGGATGCAGTAAACATCTTCAATTAAAAAAAAGTTCTTCTTCTTCAAATCTGACTTCATTGTTTAAAAAATCTGCTTTTATTTTTCTAGAGTTAAGTTGAAGTATGTAAGGCTAAAGAAATACCTCAAGGAAATATGTGAGTCAGAAAAGAAGGCTCATACTCGAAACAAAGAATATTTAAAGCAGTTGGAGTGTATCCAAGCTTGTGTTGGACACTTTACCACAAATACAGAGAAGCTTCAAGAACTGAAGGTGACATCTTGTTTTGTAATTCATTTTATTTTAATCCTTTTTTTGCTAAAATTAGAAATAATGAGCAGTAAGTTTCAGATCAGTGGCAGTCACAATGTTCAGTTGTTCATCTATAAGATTGTCAGTTTTCTTTATGAATTATCACATGGCCAGATTTTGATCAGAGAACTTGAAATTGCATTTTCTCATATTCCTACTTGAGCAATTAATGGAATATCTCTACTTTGTTGTACTATACGAATTTTAACTTAAAACAGACATGTATATCATTACCCACTACCTGGCACATAGTATTTGTTGGTCCCATGGTTGAACTTGAGCAGCATTAGAGATTGATTTCTTCTTTAATTGGTTCTTTTCCTGTGGTCGGGACCCTCTGTTTTAGTCAGGCAGTGTGTTGAGGGAAGACTGAGGGGATAGAACTGGCACGGAGGAGTTCGCCTTCATGCTCCTTGTCTTGTGCCCCAGAGCAACTGCTCTTAGTACCATCTCTAATTCTGGTGTTCCTTTCCCTTAAGATGCTTGGCAACCTTGTGCTCTACAAATTATGCCAAGCTTGGAAGGCTAGTCCTTTTTTCTCACCATTTGTGTTGGTCAGGGGTTGTTGCCCAAGTTAACTCAGCTGAATACTGGTTATAGGAGAAGTGGCTTCAGTATTTCCCTTTCCTTTTTTCTGTAGCAATTTTCTTCCCTACCTTTTATTATAAAAATCTCAAGTACACAGAAAAATTAAAAGAATAATACTAACAAATATTCATGCTATGGTCTGAAGTGATGATATTAGTAGGTGTGGTCTTTGAGAGGTGCTTAAATAATGAGTGGAATTTTCACAAATGGGATTGGTGCCTTATAAAAGAGGCTCCAAAGAGATCCCAGCCCCTTCCACCATGTAAGGACATAATTAGAAGGTGGTGGTTGTGAACCAGAAAGAGGGCCCTCCCCAGGTGACATGCTGGTACATGGATCTTGGACTTCCCATCCTCCAGAACTCTGAGCTATACATTTCTGTTGTTTGTAACCCACTAGCCATTGGTGTTTTGTTATAGCAGCTGAATGGACTAAAACAACTCCTAAACTCTGGATGCAGTAGTTGTAAATATTTTGCCATATTTGCTGTTTGTGTATGTGTATTTTTGAAAGTATGGTGCAGACACCATAACACTTCCCTAAATGGCAGTCTCCTACATAATCATATCATTCATTACCACATCTAAGGTAATTAATAATGATTCTATAATATCACTTAATATCCAGTTGGTATTCTAATTTCCCCAGTTCCATACCAGGAGCCAACTATGTTTCACACATTACATGTGGTTATTATGTCTTTTTGGTGTTTTACTTTAATTTAGTCTGATACCACTCTTCCTTTTTCTTTTCCCCCAGTAATACTGACTTTTTGAAGAAGGTAGGCTTATAGAATGCCTCATATTCTGAATTTAATTGGTTATTTCTTTGAGGTATCATTTAGCTTGTAAGTGTTCATTATGTGCCATTGAGTTGGCTACAACCCCTGATGACACTATGGGTGTTGTCCAAAATGCCCTGTCCTCAAAAGCCCTTCTCAGCCTCTGTAAACTCATATCTGTCGCTTCTTTTATGGAGTTAATCCATCTGGTATTTCATCTTCCTCTTTTTCTGCTGCCTTCAATTTTATCCAGTATTATTGTCTTTTCTGAAGAGCTCTACCTTCTCATGAAGTAACCTAACTTGCATAGCATCCCCTATATTTCCTGTAAACTGGAAATTCAGTCTAAACTAGCACTGCCTAATAGAACTTTCTATAATGATGGGAATGCTCACTGTATACTAATACTGTCCAATACAGTAGCCAGTAGCCATACTGGGTGATTGAACATTTAAAATATGACTCTGAGGGCTGTATTTTTTTTTAACTCCCATCCCAGCCCACCTTCCCAGCCCTCTTCACCTCCTTCCCATTTCTACCCATGCCCCCTAGTTTTTGTCCATATGTCCTTTATACTTGCTCCTGTAAACCCTTCTCCTTTTCCCTGGAAATTTTGAGGGCTGAATTTTTAGTTAATTAAATACTCACACCTGATATTATATTCTTCTTACTGCATCTGATCAGGAAGCAAATCATTTTTGATGTCAGGTGGTCATGCCTAAGAGAAGCTGAGTTTGATTCTTTGGTTAAGATGATGATCTCTGGATCTCTCTATTGTAAGGTACTTTTTTCCTTTGTAAATTAGTAAATAAATCTATGGGATGATGGTTTGACATCTTGGGAATATCTTATTCCTCAACAACCTTTCCTTTTACCTAGTGGTTTTAGGATTCATTAATAATGCCTACATCAGTCATATGGGAGATTTTGAAATGATAAATTTTTAATTTTATCTTCTACATCTATAATTATTGATTTCTTATTGTAATCGAATGTGAAAGGGAGGAATTTGAAGGGAAAGATTATCCTTTATAAATATTTTTTATATTGAGAGCATCTGTTATATGTAAAAGGATATGAAAAAACTTATATGAGTTACTAAAGAATAACAGAATAGGAGAACATAAAGAAAATGATAAATTATATTTATAAGATATATAAAGCTTTATTCATAAACATGGTTCAGATATTACACAGATGTTACTTTTTAAATTTTTGATAAAGAATGCCTTTAAAAAAGTCTGCTGATGGCATAAAAGAACAGATCATGTAGCTACAATTGGGAGAGATGTTGAGTTCCATGGAGAACTGTATTTGGCAGTCACGCTAAGTCAACATGCTTTGTGTGTGCTCATGAAACCAGGCATTGACACCACTTAGCTCAGCAAGCTGTGCAGTAGGCGGAGTTTCAGAGTAGAGGAGGTTTGCCTCTGGTGTCTTCCAATCTCTTTCTGGTTCTTCCTTTTCTGCCACTGTTCAGTGGAGTCCTTAGGAATATGCCCCAACCACTTGTCTCTTCTTAATCCTGCTCTACACAGGTATCAGATCTTTACCTCCTTTACTGACTGACCACACATAAGTCTCAGTAGAAAGATGTTATGAATAAACATGTTTATAGTATATTGTCTAAAAAGCTCAACCTGCTGGAGGTAGGATATTTCTTCTTGAATATAGGTAATGCAAATGAACTTTTAGGTAATTGGTAGAATTTCTGAAACTGAAACAAAATGAAGTAGTGTGGGAGAAGTGGGGATTTGCCCAATTTTTTAAAAATATATTTTATTGATTATGCTATTACGATTTCCCCCCCTTCACTCCCGTCCACTCTGTACACCCCCTCCCACCCACATTTTCCCTTTTAGTTCATGTCCATGAGTCGTAAGTTCTTTAGCTTCTACACTTCCCATACTATTCTTCCTCTTCCCCTGTCTATTTTCTACCTACCATCTATGCTATTTATTCTCTGTACCTTTCCCCCCTCTTTCCTCCTTCCACTCCTCTGTTGCTAACCCTCCGTGTGATCTCCATTTCTGTGGTTCTGTTCCTGTTCTAGTTGTTTGCTTAGTTTGTTTTTACTTTAGGTGTGGTTGTTAATAACTGTTAGTTTGTAGTCATTTTACTGCTCATAGTTTGTATCTTCCTTTTTTTCTTAGGTAAATCCCTTTAACATTTCATATAGTACAGGCTTGGTGATGATGACCTCCCTTAACTTGACTTTATCTGGGAAGCACTTTGTCTGCCCTTCCATTCTAAATGAAAGTTTTGCTGGATAGAGAAATCTTGGATGGAGATCCTTGGAATACTTCTTTCCAGCCCCTTCTTGCCTGAAAGGTCTCTTTTAAGAAATCAGCTGACAGTCTGATGGGAACTCCTTCGTAGGTGACTGTCTCCTTATCTCTTGCTGCTTCTAGAATTCTCTCCTTCATTTTAATCTTGGCTAATGTAACGATGGTGTGCCTTGGTGTGTTCTTTCTTGGGTCCAACTTCTTTGGGACTCTCTGAGCTTCCCAGACTTCATGTAAATCTATTTCCTTTGCCAGATTGGGGAAATTCTCCTTTATTATTTGTTCAAATAAGTTTTCCACTGGTGGCTGTGCCTTTCCCCCTTCTGGTACCCCTATAATTTGGATGTTGGAGCATTTAAAGATGCCCTGGAGGTTCCTAAGACTCTCCTCATTTCTTTGAATTCTTGCTTCTTGACTCTTTTCTGTTTGGCCATTATTTGCTTTCTTCTGGTCTACTCCATTGATTTGAGTCTCAGTTTCCTTTTCATTGCTATTGGTGTCCTGTGCAATTCCATTCATTTCAATTAGTTTTGCCTTCATATGTTTGTCTAATTTGTGGCTATAATCAACCAGTTCTGTGAGGATCCTGATGACCAGTGTTTTAAACTGTGCGTCTGAGAGTTTTGCTATTTCTTCATTACTTAGATTTATAGGCTCTGGGGCTTTGAGATCTTCTCGAGCCATTTTTGGTCTGTTCGCGCTCTTTAAGTGTGAGGAGCGGCGCCTTAGACTCCCAGGTCTCTGGGTTGTGACTCTGTATGTGGGGGCGTGGTCAGAGCGGGGAAATGGTGACCCCCCTCTGCTGTTTTGGGCCACCGGGTGAGGAGCAGCGCCTTAGGTGGTTCACCTGGGCCGGGCCACTCAGAGTCGCTGGGTTATGACGCTGTATGTGGAGGTGGGGTCAGAGTAGGGAAATGGCGGCGCCCTCCCTGCTGCTTTCTGTGGGGACCGGCTGGGTTCCAGTCCAATCGCTCACTCCCTTGCTTGTCTATCTGCGCACAAATGCTCGACCACAGTCAACTTGCAGCCCTGTTCCCTCGCTATTTCCCCCGCGGTCGCTTGCTTGGTTGCTCCCTCGGTCGCTCACTAGGTCCAACCCTGCGCCTGGATTCCGCGCGCCTGGATTCCGAGAGCCTGAGTCTGTCTGACCGAGTTTTCCTGTGCAACCCCGCTCCACCAGCTGCTGGTTTGGCCCCTTACCGGTCAGGCTGAAGAATTTGTTGTTAACAGACTTCCGAAAAGTTCAATTTCCTGTGTTCTGACTGTGTTTTCTGTTGCTAATATTTAGTTGTCTCTAAACTTGGTTG